ATAAGCCAGAAAGAAAAAGAAAAATACCAGATGGTCTCACTCATAGCAGGAATCTAGAAAACTTAAATAAGGGACCAGGAAAATGAATAAGAAAGTGAAAATCAAAATCAACAAAAAACTATGAACCAGAGACACTTTTTGGGGGCTGGGGGGCAGGAGGGGAGGGATTGGGGTCAGAATGGGGGGGGTTGCAATTGTATGGGGAATATAAAAATAAAATTTATTATTTAAAAAAAAATTCAGAAACGAATTAGTGCCTATCCTTCACAAACTCTTTCAAAAAATTGAGAAGGAAGGGATAATACCAAACATGTTCTATGAAGCCAACATTACACTAATACCAAAATTGAAAAAGGACAACACTAAAAGAGAAAACTACAGGCCAATCTCTCTAATGAATACTGATGCAAAAATCTTCAATAAAATTTTAGCTATCAGAATCCAACAATGTATCCATAAGAAAATTCACCATGACCAAGTAGGATTTATTCCAGGGACACAGGATGGTTCAACATCCGAAAATCATTCAATGTAATCCAACACATCAACAAAAAGAAATATAAAAACCATATGATAGCAACAGATGTTGAGAAAGCTTTCAACAAAGTACAGCACCCATTTATGATAAAGGTCCTTAAAATCCTCGGGATACAAGGAACATACCTCAACATCATAAAGGCCATATATGACAAGCCCATAGCCAATATCATTCTCAATGGTGAAAAACTGAAAGCATTTCCATTAAGATCTGGAACAAGACAAAGATGTCCACTCTCACCACTGCTTTTCAATATAATACTGGAAGTCCTAGCCAGAGAAATAAGACAAGAGAAAGACATACAAGGAATCCAAATAGGCAAGGAAGAACTCAAACTATCACTATTCACAGATGATAACAGAGAACCCCAAAAACTCCACAGAAAAACCAATTAAACTAATCAATCAGTTTAGTAAAGGGGCAGGATATAAAATCAACACACAAAAATCAGTAGCCTTCCTATACACAAACAATAAATTTGAAGAAGAAGAAATCGAGAAAACCATCCCTTTTATTATTGAAACAAAAAAAAATCAAATACTTGGGAATAAAACTAACAAAAGAGGTAAAGGACCTATACAAAGAAAACAATAAAACACTGTTAAAAGAAATAGAAGAAGACACAAAGAAATGGAAAGACATCCCCTGCTCATGGATTGGAAGAATTAACATTATCAAAATGGCCATCCTACCAAAAGCAATTTACAGATTCAATGCTATTCCAATCAAAATTTCAATGACATTCGACAAAGAAATAGAACAAATATTGATGAAATTCATATGGAGCCATCAAAATCCCCAAATATCCAAAGCTTTCCTGAAAAAAAAAGAAGGGAATGGAGGTTTCACACTCCCAGATTTCAAACTATACTACAAAGCCATAATCATCAAAACTGCATGGTATTGGAACAAGAACAGACATACGGACCAATGGAATTGAATAGAAAATCCAGAAATAAACCACAGATTTACAGTCAACTAATCTTTGACAAAGGAGCAAAGAATACGCATGGGAGCAAAGAAAGTTTGTTCAATAAATGGTGCTGGGAAAACTGGGTCACTACATGCAAAAGAATGAAGCTTGGGCCTCCCCGGTGGCGCAGCGGTTGAGCGCTGGGTTGCGAAGCTGCCCGCGGCCTCTGCGGCGCCGGTTCGATCCCCGGCTGCTCCCCGGCCACCGGAGGAGGATCCCACATGGTGCGCAGACCTCTCCTGCCACCCGCTGCTCCCCTCAGCAGTGTACTTCAGCCCTTCTGCCTGCTCTGCTCCCCGCTCTGGCTCTGGTGAATTCTCTCACCCTCCCGCGCTTCTGACTGTACCCAGTGCATGTATAAACAAAACAAACAAATATAATAAATAAATAAATAAAAACATGCCTCTATAAAAAAAAAAAAAAAAAGAATGAAGCTTGACCACTACCTCACACCATGCACAAAAACCAACTCAAAATGGATTAAAGAACTAGACATAAGACCTGAAACCATAAAATATATAGAAGGAAATATAAGCGAAACACTACATGACATGCACCTCAAAAACATATTTACAGACACATCACCCAAAGCAGTGGTAGTGAAGGCAACAATAAACAGCTGGGACTACATCAAATTAAAGAGCTTTTGTACAGCAAAAGAAACAATAACCAAAACAAAGAGAAACCCCACTGACTGGGAGAAAATTTTTGCACACAACACTAATGATGAAGGGCTGATCACAAAAATCTACAAATAGCTGATGAGACTCAACAAAAACAAAGTAAATAATCTGGTCAAAAAATGGGCAGAAAAGCTAAAAAGAAACTTCTCTAAAGAGGAAATGCAAATGGCCAACAGGCATATGAAAAAATGTTCAACATCACTTGTAATCAGGGACATGCAAATCAAAACTACAATGAGGGCCTCCCCGGTGCCGCAGCGGTTGAGCGCTGGGTTGCAAAGCTGCCCGCAGCCTCTGCGGCGCCGGTTCAATCCCCGGCTGCTCCCCGGCCACCTGAGGAGGGTCCCACATGGCGCGCAGACCTCTCCTGCCACCCGCTGCTCCCCTCAGCAGTGTACTTTGGTCCTTCTGCCTGCTCTGCTCCCCGCTCTGGCTCTGGTGAATTCTCTCACCCTCCCGCGCTTCTGACTGTACCCAGTGCATGTATAAACAAAACAAACAAACAAACAAACAAACAAATAAAACATGCCTCTATTAAAAAAAAATGCATGTCTATTAAAAAAAAAAACTACAATAAGATACCATCTTACACCAGTGAGAAGGCACATATTAAAAAAACTAGCAATAACAAAAGTTGGCGAGGATGTGAAGAAAAAGGAATTCTGCACTGCTGGTGGGACTGCAAATTGGTCCAACCACTATGGAAAGTTGTGTGGAGATTCCTCAACCTACTAAAGATGGAGCTTCCATATGATCCAGCAATTCCACTCCTAGGTATTTACCCAAAGGACACAGAAACATCAACTCCAAAGAGTACCTACACCCCTATGTTTATAGCAGCACTATTTATAATAGCTAAGCTATGGAAACAACCCAAATGCCCAAAAATAGATGACTGGATCAAGAAGACATGGTACATATACACGATGGAATATTACTCAGCAATCAAAAAAGATAAACTCATGCAATTTGCAGCAACATGGATGGAGTTGGAAGGGATTGCACTCAGCGAAATAAGCCAGAAAGAAAAAGAAAAATACTGGATGGTCTCACTCATAGCAGGAATTTAGAAAACCTAAATAAGGGACCAGGAAAAAGACTAATTATAATAAAGAAAAAAATCAAGATCAACAAGTAACTATAAACCAGAGACACACTACGGGGGCAGGGAGAGAAGAGGAGGGATTAGGGCCAAAATAAGGGGGGTGGGAATTGTGCAGGGAATATAACCAAAATGAAAATGCATACATTGTGCAAAAATGAAAAACGATATAAGAATTATATAAAATAAAATATTAAAAAAATGTACTCTCAGGCAACTAGATTTGTCAACATTATACATCTACAATCACTTACCCTGCAAGGCTATTGTAAGAAGCAAAAGATATATGAGAAATGACTTTGAAAAATAGAAAGCACTTAAGTAATTAATTATAACGTATCCCCCATAACATAGTACAATAAAGGATACTATATCCATAAGAGCCTAGAAAATTCTTTGTAACTGTATGGAATATATATATAATTTAGTGCCTTTTTCACAGAAGGCAATACCTTGCTTATAAGAAACTAAAATGAGTTTCAAACTAGGAACTCCCTTTTCTATTGTCTACTCCTTCTTGTGCTTGATTTTCAATCTGCATAAAATGTTATAGGGAAGAAAATATTATTTTTAGAGAAAAGGATTTATTTTTACAGCAATTTTAAATACTATCTATCCTCTGTTCCCCCCAAGTATATTGAAACTGTTATTGAAAAAAATGTCAAAGATATGAATATCCATTAGTCGTTGGGAAAATGCAAATCAAAACTGCAGTTACTGCTTCACACACATTAGATTGGCTAGAATCAAAAAGGCTAGATAACAAGTGTTAGTGAGAATGTGGAGCAATATGAACACTCATACGCTGCTGATGGGAGTAAAAAATGGTACAGCCACTTTGGAAAACAGTCTGGTAGTTCCTCAAACAATTACCATATGACCCAGGAATTCCACTTCTACGTCTATACAAGAAATGAAAACATATGTTCACACTTCAAAACTTGCACATGAATGTTTACAGCAGCGTTCTTCATAAAGTCAAAAAGTGGAAAAGATGAGTGAATAAACAAAGATGGTACATCCATTCAATGGAGACTAATATTCAGCAATAAAAAGGAATGAAGAGCTGTTATATGTCACGACATGGATGACTCTTGAAACACTTATATCCATCGAGTCAAGTTTGGATTTCTCCTGCCAGGATGCAGGATTTTTCAATCTGCTCCCAATTGTGTCTCGCACCCAGCTTCATTTCCTAATATATCCAAAAGGAAATGCTTCACTCAAGGCTGAATTGTCTCTTCACTGTCCCTGGTACATTCTATATACCTTCATTTCACTGCCTTTTATCAGGCTATTCTAGTCTAAATGCCTACCCCACACACACACTTTTCTATATCCTACAAATCACTCAATACCTATTTCAAAGCCGCACATCACCCACAAAGGGTTTGTGGGGAATTCCAAATACAAATGATTCCTTGCATTTAAAACTTACTGTCTGTCCCACATATCATAGTGTTTGATTTACATGCCACTCATCTCAGCACTTGATTTACATGTCACATATTTTAGCATTTGATATACCTGTCACATTTTACTTTTTTATTTACTTACCATGCCATTCTATTATTCTGTACAGAAACACCACCTTATTAAGATAAAGACTTACTTTTTTTGGTGTCACTAACACTGCACAGTACAGTATTAGACCCAAAACTTACATAATTATAACTTACATAATTACAATTAACTATCCCAAGATTAACTATGAACTGTGACTATCATATTTCCCATAATTTTACATACCTTTCCACTATAAAAGCAATCAATAAACCCAAAGTCCAAAGATGAATATAGTACCTTGTCATACTGACAGACAATTACATTATCTGTGTCAAACAGGTCTGGCACATCCTGCTCACTAACATCATCTCCAGAATTTAAAGGGTCCTAAAGATGAAAGATGGTCACATTAAGGGATTTCATGATGCTTTGAATTTTTTAAAATTAGGGAGACATATAGAAATAATAAAACTTGGAGAGGGAGAACATTATTGTACCAAAAGTCAAATAGTCTAAGTTTGAATCCCAGTTTGGCCACTTAATAATTACAAGACTGACCTTCAGCAAGTTACTATAACTTCCCTATATCTCAGTTTTCTCATATATACAATGAGGGTAATAATAAGACCCATAATAAGGTCACTGAGTATATGAAATAACATAAAGCAGGTGATACTTAGTAGAGTACCTGGTACATGAATAAGGTCACCCTAAATGATAATTAATACTACTACAGGCTTCTTTATTACCATGTTCCACAAATATTTTACTGCATTTATTGGAATTACAGCAGATACTATATACTCCTACCTTGGCTGCCTTCTCTATCTCCACTCCCATCCCCTAAGCCTCCCACGATCTCTAGTTATGATCAACAAATATAGCAGCCTATTTCTAATACTGATTTAAATTATAATTTAAGTTTAAAAGCTTAAATCCTTGTGTACAAATAATCTTTAAAAACTAAAAACAGAGTTAATCTCAATAGATATACTTCTTGGTTCCAAGGTATATTTAAATACAAATGTTGTAAATTTAATATAGAAAACTCAGCCCAAAGTGAGCCTCACCTCTTCCACAATGTCTATCTGAGGATCTTCATTATCACTACTGTTAACAGTTGAATCTTCATTTGATATACTATCAGCTTCTTCTTCAAGTACTTTCAGAGATCCTGCATCAATAGTGCCTAGAAATTCATTCTCATTTATACTTCTTGTACTTCCTATTTCATCATTGGAAGATGTATCACCAGTTCCATCTATTTGAATTATTTCATTAATATCATCATCAGTTACCTGACTGCTTAAATCCATATGAGAATTAGAATCCTAAAAAGAGAAGGAAATGCAATAAAGTTGTTCAAGTCAAAGTACATAAAACACATAAAATTTAAAATTAGATATTTCACAAGTAGTCAAATTAAAACATATTTCTTCCCTATGAGGTGATAATCACTTGTAATTTGAATGTTAGAACACCCCAGAATTTCTATGTAATATAAAAATAATTTTTAAATTGTAACTAAACTAAACCTACTAGTCATATGTAGACAACAAAGGAGTACATTGCTTTAAGATAATATTTACCAGTATTTATGTATACCTTCTTGTACTCATATCATACCTGCTAGTTTTAACTATTCTATGTGATTTTAAACAATAATTCAATGATGTAGAAAGAACAAGCGAAATTGTGTTCAATGGATGAATAAAAGCTATAAAGATTGTACTAAGTGAAGTAAATCAAAAACAAAAGGACAGATATAAACCAAAACTTACAAAATGGAAAAGTAAAACAAATACACAATTATAGTTCAAGAATTCAACATTCTTCGCTTATTAGTCAACAAAATAAGTAGACTGAAATTCATTAAGAATGTAAAACACAACATTGATCGTAAACAACACAATCAACCAACTTAACCTAACTTGTTTAGAACACACCACCTAAAAATAGCCAAATGCACATTCTTGTAAAGAGCATACAGCATGCTTACCAACATGGACTGTATTCTGCTCATAAAATAAACCTTAACAAATTTAAAACACATAGAGTATGGTCCCTGAGAACAATGGAATTAAGGCATATCTGTAGCAGAAAGATCTAAAATATCCCCCAAATATTTTTATTAAATTTTCCAGGTACTTATATCTATATAACTTTAGGGCTACACTTTTACTCTTCCATATGTGCACATGCTTCACTCATCTTTCACCAAAATGCCCAAGCCAGTACTCTATACCCTGTTCCCTCTTGTAACCAGTAAATTTTTCACTAAATCTAATATTTGTTTTTGCTCTATTTTGCCAGTATATGCTTTTTGTATTATTTACATTCCATAGATAAATGAAACCACGTGATATTCTTCACTTTCTGACTTATTTCACTTAGCATAATCACTTCAAGTCCATCCATTTTGACCAAAAAGACACTATTTCATCTTTCGTATTAGCTCAGTATTCCATTGAGTACATATTCTACAATTTCTTTATCCAATCATATATCAATGGGCACTTAGGTTTCCATGACTTGACAATTGTGGACAATGATGCTATATGAACATGGGAATACATAAGTCTTTTTGTATTTGATTTTTCATTTTTTTGGGGGGTATATACCTAACCCAGGTATTGCTGGACCATATGGGATTTCCATTTTTATTTACTTAAAAATACTGTTTTCCATAGAGGCAGCACCACCTTACATTCCCACCAAAAGTGGATGAGAGTTCCACATTTGTTTTCAACATTCATTGTTTCCATTCTTTTTTGATATGGGTCATTCCACAAGAGTGAGGTAGTATCTCAGTGTTTTTGATTTGCATTTCAAATAATTTGCATTATTTATAATAAGTGATACTCAACAATTTTCCATGTGTCTACATATTATCTGAATATCATCTTTAGAAAAATGTCTGTTTAGGTTTCCTACTCATTTTTTGATTGGGTTGTCTGTTTTTTTTATGTCAGATTGTTTAAGAACTTTGTATGTTTTGGAAATTAGCTCCTTGTCAAGTGTGTGATTAATACCATAAGGCAAAGTGTAAAATCTGCAAGATGTAGAAATTAAATAACATACTCTTTAAAGGAAAAAATGGTCAAAGAATAAAAATCTAAGAACCAAAATAATCAATCAAAAGATAAAAAAAAATCTTGAGACTAATGAAATTGAAAACACAACACCAAACCTTATAGGAAACAGAAAAAGCAGTGCTGATAGGGAAATCAACAGCTATATCTCTTCATGCCAAGAAAAGAGGATCTCAAAGTAGCAATCTAAATTATATCTTAAGGAACTACAAAGAAAAAAGCCCAAAGCTAGTAAAGAAACTAAACAATAATAATTAGGGTAAAGATAAGCAAAGAATTTAAAAATAGAGAATATCGATAAAACCAGAAGAATTGGTTCTTCCAAAAGAGCAACAAAAATTGATAAGCCTTTAGATAGATTTATAAAGAAAAAAAGAGAGAAGGCTGATAACTAAAATCAGAAATGAAAGAGAGGACTTTACTATAATTTTATAGAAATGAAAAGTATAAGAGAATATTATGAACAACAAATATTATGAACAACAATTGGATAATCTAAATGAAATAGACAAATTCCTAAAAGCACACAACCTACCAAGACTGTATCCTGAAAAAAATAGAAAAGCTTAATAGAGCTACAACCAGTAAGGAGACTGAATTAGTAACCACAAACCTCTCAACAAATAAATGCCCAAGACCAGATAACTTCACTGGAAAGCTCTGCCAAATATTTGAAGAATTAACAGCAATCCTCAAAATTCCTCAATAAATACTAACAGAATTCAATGGCACATTAAAAGGATTATACACCATGCCAAGTGATATTTATTTCTTGAATGTTTCAACATAGAAAAAATCAATACAGGTAATACAACTCATTAACAGAATGAAGAGGGGATGGGGCACACAATTACCTCAATTGACGCAAAAAAAATACATATTTGACAAAATTCGACATGCTTTCATGATTACAAAAAGCACTCAAATTAACAACAGAAGAGAATTGCCTCAATATAATAAAGCCATTTATGAGAAGTCTTCAGCTGTGAGCATATTTAGTGGTGACAAACTGAAAACCTTTTCTGTAAGATCAAGAATCAAGCAAGGATGTCCACTCTTGCCACTTCTTATTCAACATAGTACTGAAAGTCCTAACTTTTGTAAAAATTAGCAAGCTTATTCTAACATTTATGTGGAAAAGCAAAGAGATTGGGCAAGCTAGAACAACATTTAAAAAGAAAAAATTTGAGACTCATACTCTGATTTCCACACTTAATGCTAGCATAATTAAAACAACGTGGTACTAGAGGGCCTCCCCGGTGGCGCAGCAGTTGAGCGCTGGGTTGCGAAGCTGCCCGCGGCATCTGCGAAGCCGGTTCGATCCCCGGCTTGGCGCGCAAACCTCTCCTGCCACCCGCTGCTCCCCTCAGCAGTGTACTTCATCAGTCTGCCTGCTCTGCTCCCCGCTCTGGCTCTGGTGAATTCTCTCACCCTCCCGTGCTTCTGACTGTACCCAGTGCATGTACAAACAAACAAACAAATAAATAAATAAAAATACATGCCTCTTTAAAAAAAAAAACAACAACGTGGTACTAGAGAGTAGACACATGAATTAATAAAAGAGTGAAAGTCCAAAAATAAAACCACACACATCTAGTAGCTGATTTTCATTAAAGTGAAGGGCTTTAGGCTACTCCATGGAGTCTTTTCAACAAGTGATACTAAAGCAACTGAACATCCATATGCAAAAAAAAAAAAAAAAACCTAAATCCCAACCTTGTACTACACACAAAAATTAACTAAAAATAGATTTCAGTATTAAAAATTCTACAAAATTTTTAGAAACATTAGATGTTTGCAAAATTTATTTAGATAAGACATGCATCAGAAATCAAAAGGAAAATACAACAAATTGCACTCATCAAAATCACAAAATTCTCCTCTCAAGGAGTGTTAGAGAAAAAGGATGTGGGGCAACTACAAATCTTATACAGTGCTAGTTGAAATTCAAAATTCCACCACACGATACTGGCCAAAAACAGACACTTTGGAAATGAATTTGGCACTCTCTTAAAAGCACACAAGTATCATATGATCTAGAAATCCCACTCTCTCACTCAAAAGAAAAGGAAATATATGTTCACATTTTTTTAAAAAAAACATGATGTGAATGTTTTTAGGGGTTTTATTCATAAATGCCAAAAACTGGAAAAAACCCAAATGTCTAACACGTAAATGGATAAACAAATTGGTACAACAGAACATACTGATACATGCAACATGACTGAATCTCAAATGTATTACTTTAAAGTTATCTGCTAAATGATTGTATTTGTTTGACATTCTTAAGAAAGGAAGATGTGGTGTGTGTATATACACACACACACACACACACATACACACACACAATGGAATATTACTCAGCAATCAAAAAAGATAAACTCATGCAATTTGCAGCAACATGGATGGAGTTGGAAGGGATCTTGCTCAGTGAAATAAGCCAGAAAGAAAAAGAAAAATACCAGGTGGTCTTACTCATAGAAGGAATTTAGAAAACCTAAATAAGGGACCAGGAAAAAGACTAATTGCAATACAGTAAAAATCAAAATCAACAAGCAACTATAGATCAGAGACAAACTACAGTGGGGAGCAGGGGGAGGAGAAGAGGGATTAGGGTCAGAAAAAGGGGGTGGGAATTGTATGGGGAATACAATCAAAATGAAAATGCATACATTATGCAAAAATGAAAAATGATATAAGAATTATATAAAATAAAATAATTCATTTTAAAAAAACTTACAATTGGGCCTCCCCGGAGGCGCAGCGGTTGAGCGCTGGGTTGCGAAGCTGCCCGCAGCCTCTGCAGCGCCGGTTCAATCCCCGGCTGCTCCCCAGCCACCGGCGAAGGGTCCCGCATGGTGCACATACCTCTCCTGCCGCCCGCTGCTCCCCTCAGCAGTGTACTTCGGTCCTTCTGCCTGCTCTGCTCCCCGCTCTGACTCTGGTGGATTCTCTCACCCTCCCGCGCTTCTGACTGTACCCAGTGCTTGTATAAATAAATAAAAATAAATCTTAAAAAACAAAAAAAACTTAAAATTGCCAATATTAAAAAAAAAAAAAAGGCAAGCCTGGTCAGAAGAGGCAGCAGGGAGGAACTGTCAGGGACCAGAAGTGGAGGGAGGAGTTTGACGACTAAGGAGCATGAGGATACTCTTAGTGGTGATGGAAATGTTCCGTATCTGGCTGCAGTAGTGATTAAATAAGCACAAGTGTTCACAAAAATTTCATACTATACACCTAAAAACTGCACACTTCAAAAAATGAACTTTACTGTACGCAAATTCTATCTTAATAAGTTTGACTTCTTTTTAAGTAAATTATGGTAAGGTTACTCCTAGGTGTAAATTACATGTTGGAACTGGTGTGTTTGGCTTTTTGTTTTTGTTTTTTTAATAGCAGCAAGTACTAAAACCTTAAACCACAGAATCTCTTACTGCAAAATGAATCAGAGATCTCATGGTATTTTGCCAGGTGAGTAAAAGCTTATTAAGGAATATTAAAGATTCCAGGACATTTCTAAATGAATTCATGTAACCATCGTCTTATTTCATTTAAATCACTGAGGTCCTCTTTACTCTGGGAAAGGAGTAACATTAGAAATCCAAATTTAGTATTAATAACTACAAAAGAATTTTGTCAATCTCAACTTCTATCTTCAGAAGCACTTCAAAAAGCATTGGAAGTTCATATGACTCCAACCTCCTTTTCCAAGGTGGCAATTTAACCAAAGTAACAAATCGTTTCACAGCAACATCCATAATCAGTATTTTAGGACCATGAATAGAAAGATCGAAGTCTTTCGTATGACCATATATCCACTACATACATTCTCAAGATTCTCGTCCAAGCCAGGTTGTTATGAGGGAATTTTCATTCTCTCTTAAAAATCATTAATGTCTCCCCAAAGATCAGTCACGAACTTCAACCACTGTCCTTTGAAAAGGCAGAAATATTCTGCATGAAGAAGAATTTAACTTTTTACTGACATTTTTTAACAAATGTCTTGGAAAAGAAAATATTTCAAAACCTTTGTTCTAAAGTATTTGAGTTCCATGGCAGCCAATGAGACTTCTTTTAGAATTACTGGCTGTGTCTTAGTGTCAATGCATGCCATGTGCTGAAAAAGATAGCAATGCTCTCTTCACAGAGCAGCAAAATCCTATGTTGCCAAGCATCTTCATCAGTGTAGAGTAACCAAGTTTTGCTAAGTAAAAAAAGACTTTTCGTTATTACAAAGATGTCAGTTTTCAGTTTCAAAAAAAATAGAAATAAAAAAGGACTCACTACACAACCACACAGGAATTCTTGTTGGTGTCAATGTGCAAATAATGATTAAAATCAAACGCTCACTGCCCTTAGAAGCATTGGTATTTTTATCCTGTTGAATGTTAAAAGAAAGTCACTGCTAATTCTTCTATGAATTTCAGGCAAATGTGAGGAAATGTCAACAGTTCTAGTACAGATGATGTAATCTGACAGAAGCACCGCTTCAATTTTTTTTCTCTGCTCTAAAACAAATCAGTTTAATGATTTCCAAGATTCTCAGCTTCACCAAGATCTCTTCAATTGCACAGGGCTTCTTTGGCTGGGTAGCACAATAGGCAAATGGATCAGATGCTTCAAGATAAAACTTTGTTTGCCAAATTCAGGTTCCAATCTTTTCAATTTGTGCTTTCCTCTAATGAAAGAGCCATATTTTTCCAATGGCTGCTAAGGACTGACAGAACTTCACATCCATATGTGGGGATAAATATAAAACAAGAGAAAGCTAAGTTATACATACTTTCTTTTCACATTTTCATGCTAAAAAATGTGAAATTCAGTTCCCTATAATCATAAAGGCAAGGAACATCTTTAATGCTTAACAGAAATTGAATCCAGATAGCTACCATAAATAACACAGTGGCAGTGATGATTACATATTACCTGACCCTGTAGGGTGGCCTCTTGGCCACTCTACTCTTACTTGGCATGATATGTACCTTAACATGTTTTGACAAATACAAAAAAAGTATTTTACTAAATTGGCTCTTTTCCTATAAAGAAAGAAAAACATCACATATCTGGCTTTAAAATTGCTAATTTAGAGATACTTAGGAGTGGCATATAGTGATTCAAAAAATATTTGCTCAATTAACTGAATTCTAAATTCAAACAGCTACTGATAGGACATTTTGTATTTTAAAAGAAAAATATCAAAAGGGACTTGGAAGAAAAATAAAGCTCTTACTTGAAGCTATTATTCTCTATTCCTTCACTCTATTAATTTTTCATTCATACATTGATTCTGAGCTACACACATGGTTCCCAATTTTGACTACATATCACCTATCACAATCACCTCTCAATACTCTTAAGCATTACTGAGCAGACTCACTTCAGACCAATTATATCTACCCTTTAGTGTAGAACTAAACATTGTTTTTAAAGCCATAATTATTCTACTACTTAGCCAGGGTAGAGAATTACCAATGGAAATAAACCAATCATAGATCTTATTCTTTAAAACTTATATTCTAAGTATAATAAGTTTGTTCATTCTAAGGTGCTGAGTATACAAAGATTAATAAAATGAGCTTCTCATTGCAAACAGTATATTTTCATGTAACTTTTTACTATATGATGACAGACACAAGCCTAAGATGCTGTAACACAGAAGAGACACATCCAATCTAATAATGAAGGGAGAAGCGGTAGCTAGACAGATACTGAAGTAAAATTTCTAGAGACTGGATAGCAGAAAAGGATGGTGGGGAGAAAATCTAAGCACCAAGCAGAGAGGAAAACAAAAGCAAAGAGAGAAGCAGGAATAATATTAACACAGAGAATCATAGTTTATGTTACCAGTAAAGCAGTAGGCATGAAATGATGTTTTATATATATATATATATATATATATATATGTGTGTGTGTGTGTGTGTGTGTGTGTATGTGTGTATATATATATAATAAATTTTTTAAAAAGGAAGATTCCAAAATATTTCAGAATTTTAAGTTATCAAAATCACATGATTCATGATTCCTTTAAAAGGAATGAAATTCTGACATGCTACAACATGAATGAATCTTGAAAATATACATTAAGTAAAATAAGCCAATAACAGGGTAAATATTGTATGATTCTACTTACGAACTACCTAGAATAGCCAAATTCATAGAGCCCAAAATTAGAAGTTACCAGAGGCTAAACAAAGAGAGGGTATATAATTTCAGTTTTAGAAATATATTTTATAAAACATTAAGAATGTTAAACCTAGATAGATCCTTAAGATCTCCGGTATTCTACACAAGAAAAGCAAACAAATATAATTAATTATAATTTCCTTACAAAATAATTTCAGAAAAGCTACTTATTAAAAAAAAACTATTTATAAATTATATCAGCATAAACTTCACCAGTTTACTATTTTAAAGTCATCCTACAGTAAATTAATTTCTAAAATATATAAATACTTCTGTATGTTTGGACTTTTGTGTTTTATATTTAGATTTATTTTAAAACTAACTGACAATTTATATGATGTTACCCAATATATCACAAATCCATAAAACATAATAGCACCACTCTAAAGTTTACTGTGGTTCCAGAAACTATTAAAAACTCTATATACATCCTCTCTGATAATTTTAAAAATTGTGAGGTTGATTTTATGCCCAGTTTACAGACTGTAACTGAATTTCAGAAAGTAATGTTACATAGTTTTGCTTATAAGTGAATCTGGAATTTAAAGCTATTGTGGTTTCAAAGCTTAGACTCTCAACCACTATCCCCTAAACAATCCTTGCTTAATCTTCCTTAACTAATCTATTTCCCTATATCAGAATAAAGCACAAGATGACATCTAGTAAGTAACACTAGAATAAAAGTCCTTGAATCATCATACCAAAAATCTGCAAAGTTCATGCAGAGTCCAAAAACTTGTAACTCCAAAGGTTCTAAGTGATGAAAACACTTATTTTAAACTTACAAGTTATTTTTATCTAAAAACCAAACATTGCATAATTACGGGTTTAGTCTGCATTTCTCAACCTACATATTATGTGGAAAATATGAGTAAAATACTCAAAAAACATTTTAGTCCTAGTACTCTATACCCAAACTCTACTAAAAACAGACTTACTTAAAGTTTTTAAACAGGTTTCAAACATCTGAAATAGTTCAAAACAGTTCAAAGGTCTTGATCATCATTTTCTTCATTTGTTATCCTTCATTGTTCCCTCTATTTCCTCCTTTCTACCTAGAAAACTTTTAAAGTGGCATTAATTATCCATTGCCACAGATTTGAAAAGCAGTCCTAAAGGACCATTAAACTATTAGAGATACAAACCTTTCATTATTGTGACATCACTAAATTGTATAAATGGAATTGGCAATATGACATATTTTATGTTTGTAAAAAATAACGCAAGCTTTTTTTTTTTTTTAACTATCCAAGATTCTCTATGACTCTTTCTGGCATCACTGTGAATTCCTTAGAAGTTAATAATTTGAGCCTATTTTAAATATGGAAATTAAATCAGAAATTATTTTTTAGTGGTTTGAATTTCAAAGAAATTAACTAGTATTTTAGAAGGCCAGGGGAAACAAAACATCTACTGGTAAGGTAACTCAAGGGGGAATAAGTTTCACTTGGTTATTTGGAAAACTAGGTAGAACAAGGGGGAAAAACCATCGAACCTCTTTTGTATACTAAACATGACAATGAATTTCCTCAAAATATTCATTTAATTAATTTAATATTCATTTAATATTCATTTTAATTAAAGGAATGGATTTCTGGGTCATTTAAATTTTATCTGTAGACAAAAAAAACAATTCTCATAAGAGAAAATGGATTACCTTAAAGCAAGTACATTTTCTTGAAAGCAATATTCTAATTCATTAATGGAAATAAGTTTAGAAATGCTGAACATGAATAATTTAAGAAGTGATAGTTATATCCATTAAGTTGAACATAGAACTACCTTCTCGGAGTCAGGCAGGCCACTGGGCTCCTCAATATTTCTTGCCTGCTTTGTAGAATCACATCCAAACATCCTATTTTTAAGAACATAAGGCTGGACATCAGACATGTGCTGGTGCGGAGCCCCCTGAGGGCCCATGGAGAGGGGCCCACCATGCAGATTTTGAGTCATCCCAGCTGGCACACTGAGCACTGGCTCCATATTACAGTCTAGTTGAGAAACCTGTGCAGGAAATGCAACACCTGGAAGACTAATAAGCTGAGAGCTCTTGGGTAGACTCAACAAAGCTTCACACATGATTTTATGCTCATTTCCAGGAGGTATAAGAATATCACTGGTGGCATTTTCTAAGTGTTTCCTTTCCACTGCCCCAGGATATAGAATTGTGGGTTGTTGGAACATAGTCTCCATTCTCTGTGATTTTTCAGTAGTTGCTTGAAGGGAACATGGGGTCAATCGTGGAATACTGGTCTGTATTATTGAAGGTTGCCCAAACTGCTGAAATACTTGTTGAATTGGATGCTGAAGAACATTCGCTCTTCCAGACGTCTGAGTCACCATAATTGGTACATTGACTTTATAAAGATGACCTTCCAATGGAGAAAACAAAACTTTAAGTACAATAGAATCCTGATTTCCTTAGTGAAAAAAATTCTATGCATAACTGATTTGGGTGAAATATATCAATATGTTAATAGCAGTTATCTCTAGGCATTCTCTTCTATTCTTCAGATATTTCTGTATTCTCTACAATAAATACGTATTGCTATTATTTTTTAAAATTAAATGTCTTGCTTTAACTCTAGCCTTTCCCCACTACTACTTATATGGTTCATTTACAGATGTATACGGGCCACCAAGATTTACTCCATGAACTTCTACCATGCTTGATAAATTACAGTATTGCCGGGCCTCCCTCATGGCGCAGGGGTTAAAGACGGCACTATGAAGCTTCCACCATCGACTGCAGCACAAGTTCAAACCCCAGCCAGGCAGCAACCCACATGGCGCAGCAGACCTCTCCTGCCTCGCCCGCTGCTCCCCGCAGCAGTATATTTCAGTACATCTGCCTGTTCTGCTCCCCATTCTCTCTGGTGAATCCTCTCACCCCTCGCACCTCTGGCCTGTATCCCAGTTCTTGTATGCATAAATAAAGAAATCTTTTTAAAAAATTACAGTATTACCAATGCAAGTTGAGATTTTAACAAACATCATCAGGTAGAATGTATTTCATATACATAAAATACCACATAACAACTATAATACCATGCCTTATCAAACAAGGTTTAAAAACTTCAAGTTACCAAATTTTTAGCATATTTCTTCCTCCACCCCTTTTCTTTAAAACAATACTAAAAAGAAGAAAGAAGTCTATCTTTTGAGCATTGAGTTTGATGCACTGCTTAAACGTTAGAACAACCCAAATAATAGATACGATTCTCTTTCAAATCAATAAATTATATTCTGAAAAAAAACAGAGATTATTCTCCACAATTTTGGGATATTCTTTCAATTATACCAAACTATCTCCAATAACAAAGGAGGAGAAAGTTGATCAATCCAATTTTTAGTTTTTCTTAACTGGAGCTAGCAAGGACACAGATATGTTATTTTGTGTTTTTCAAAATTTAGATAACTTGAATTAGACAAAACATATTTAAAGTATCTTCTACAATACTGGGAAAGAGAATTTGGAATGAAATACAGGACAGACCCAGTACAGTGTCTTGTGGTAGTCATTTTCACAACAATAATAACCATTAGCTATTAATAATCTTGTGATGAGGGGCCTCCCTGGTGGTGCAGCAGGTTGAGCACAGCGCTATAAAGCTGTCCGCAGCCTCTGCAGCATGGGTTCGATTCCTGGCCAGCCAGGGAGATTCCCACATGGTGCAACAGACTTCTCCTGTCTCGCCCGCTGCTCCCCTCAGCAGTGCCTATTCTGCTCCCTGCTCTGTCTCTGGTAAATGCTCTGACCCTCCGGTGCCTCTGACCTGTACCCCAGTTCTTGTATAAAAATAAATAAATCTTTAAAATAATAATAATCTTGCAATGAGTTTTATTAAAATTTCCTATAATTTGTTATATGATTAATTGAAAAATCATGAAAATGAATGTCCAGAGGTAACAATACTAAAAACAATGTTATTTTTAGAATGTTCTTACCAGATGAGGTCTGCAGTGTCACACCTGCTGGTACATGAATAGGATAACCAGGAAAAGCAAAGTTTGCACTGGAATTTGAGGCACCCTAAACATGTGAAATTTATATTAGGAAGTTAGAAAAGGATCAACTTGTGTCTTTTTTTTCCTCATCTCATAAAAGGTCAAGAAATCTGATTCAGGACAACAGTTTGACACCACTTAAGATTACGGTTAATATCTTTGAATAAAAGAAATTCATTATTTGGTTTAGGTCATCTCATTAAAAGAAATGTGTTGTACAGCTGTTAGCAATGAAGCTAGTAAGTCTTAATAAACAGTATGAATGTAGACTCATAAAGTGGCCCACTAGATCGTTTTGCCTAAGACGCTGACTCTTAAAAATGATAAGGATCACAGCTATTTTTAGGATTCCTATAGCCTCTAAGTTAATTATTAATGGTATTTTAAAGTACATCATATGATATGATGTGTATAATTTTTACTTTGGAATAGTTAAACCTTAGGATTTTAATTTTTTTAAATACTAAATCAGAAGACAAACATTTTTGTTATCAAATTTGTAAAAATTTAAAACACTAATTAGTAACAGGCAATGCTCACAGAACATGATAAAAATGACATTCTCTTAGATCAGTGCTTACACAAGCATATATGGTACAATCCTTTTGAAGGGCAATTTTGTACTATGTACCAATATTGAAAACATGTATGACTTCTGACATAGAAATTCTACTTCCAGGAATTTATCCTGATTACCTAAATATCACACAAACTACAAACTACAACTATTCAATGGAATGTTATATTAGAAAAATACTTGAAATAATTTAAATGTCCATCAAGAAGAGATTAGCTAATTAAACTATGATTCATTTACTCAGGCCAATAATACTTATCTGGCAATGAAAAGGACCCATCTGTATTACTAAGTCAAAAAAAAAAAGAAGTACAGAAACAGTACAGAGAATGATTCCATTAATTTTCTGGTTAAAATTTTTCCCTGAAAAATTAACATAACTTTCATAGAAGAAGTCTAGATGGCTTTACATCAAACAGTTATCTTTGGTGCATAATACTGCAGGGCACTTTCACTTCTATTTCATAAATTCATTTTTACTTTTTAAAAGTTTATTTCTCCTTTGATCTAGAGGAAAGGCATTTTCAAGAATTTCAATGCCAGAGATACTTTTTCATTGATCTCACAAGCATCACTACTCCTTCAAAAAATGCTGGTGAGGGGGGCCTCCCCTGGTGGCACAGCATTTACGTGCTGGGCTATGAAGCTGCCCGCAGCCTCTGCAGCACCAGTTCGATCCCTGGCCACCGGCGAGGGTTCACATGGCACGACAGACCTTTCCTGCCGTGCCCACTGCTCCCCTCAGCAGTGTATTTCGTCAGTCTGCCTGTTCTGTTCCCCGCTCTGGCTCTGGTGAATTCTCTTACACTCCTGCGCTTCTGACTCTACCCAGTACTTATATAAATAAGTAAATAAATCTTTAAAAAAAAAATCCTGGTGAGGGGTTTAGTTTTGTTTGGTATAATGAAGAAATAGAAATGATCCACTAAACTGTCTAACCTGGAAAGGTAGCTCATGGATTGAAAGAGAAAGAAAAAGCTAGTGAATTATATTCCATCAATACCACAAAAGAAAGGTGAAAAAAAAAGTGTTATTTTTCCCACCTAAAACTACTCACTTTTCTATATATAAGTTTTAGTTTTAGTTTCTGCTCACAAATCCTAAAAGGGAGCAAGGGGGAGTTATGCTCTAGCCACTACTACACAAACATGAAAAAGATGACCAAAATGTTCCACTAAATAAAGCCCAACTTGGGGGGAACAAATCAGAAAAAAATACCATATCAAAATCATTTATTTAGGATCCTCTAAGTACATAATATACAATGAATTAAAAGTCCATGGAATATAACATCAGAAATGTCTTAAACTTGTAGGTACAGTCTTGGCAGCTGCTAACAACTGCCCTAGATGACAGGAAAAGTTGGTAAGAAAATACCAACTCTGGAATGCTCAAGTTTGTACTTTAAGTGTGTTGTAGAAACTCTTCCTCTCTCCCCGCTTACATTTTTTCCCATTCAACAGGAGGACTGCAAAATATGTCTGTACCCACTCCTCTGCCACCATTCACCACAAGTAGTATATATCCTTAAAATTATTTTTTAAATAAACCACATACCAGTTCTGTTGTGGTAAAACTGGGAAGTGCTCTTCCAGCAGGAATAACTAATGATGCTGCATTTAAAAAAAAAATAATAAGCATTATACATTCATTAGAATTTAACAACAATAAAATTGCTAAGTGTTGCTTAGTTTTAAAAAAATAAATATTTTCTATTACTAACATATTCAACATATTCTCAACTCCCTGATTCCAAGTGAGGTAAAAGAATATTTTTCCCACCAATTTTAGATAAAGACTTTACAACTAAACTATCTTAAGGACCAAAGGAAAACATCTCATTGTAATCAAGCATATTGTACTTTAGAAATTCACAACAAAATACCTAGGTTGTATTTTCATAAGTTAAAGTAGCACTAAATCTCCATTACAACTTCTCACAAGGGAGAAAAAGTAAAATTTGTTAAAGTGACACACTTCTGCAAGTGTATTTAAAAAAAAAAAAAGATTTATTTATTTATGCATAGAAGAACTGGGGTATAGGCCAGAGGTGGGAATTGGGGGAGGTGAGAGACTTCACCAGAGACAGACTGGGGAACAGAACAGGCAAATTGACTGAAATATATTGCTGAGGGGAGCAGTGGACAAGACAGGAGAGGTCTGCTGTGCCATGTAGGTTAGCCCCCTGGCCAGGGATAAAACTAGTGCTGCAGTGGCTGCAGATAGCTTCATTGTGCTAAGACTTAACCCCTTGCACCACCAGGGAAGCCCCTGAAAGAGTACTTCTAAACAAAGATATGTAACCCAACATAAACCCATTCTAAGTTTTTTAAGTTCCATTTATTCATTTCATGAAAAGTTATCCACAGTACTTTTGCCAAGTAACCAAACACAACTATATAGTTTCAGGAATAACTGAGTAAGAACATGTCTCCTGAAGTTGTTGCATGCAACAGGTTCAACTAAGAAAAATATTAGAAAACAAATTCTTAGGAGACAGCCTGCATTAAAGCTCCAGTCTCATATCTTTGTTATCTACCAATTTTCTATGCTATGTCTTCATTTATAAGACAACTAATAGGTTGGTCAAATGGTTGTAAATGTAATCATTAATTAGTACATCTAAAGAAAAGTAACTCCAGTAGAAGAATCCCAGATGATCAATGTACCTTAAACCTTAACTCAAGGTTGGTATTACCGAGCTGAACAAGACTGTTAGAAAATCATTTTGCCCTTTTTTGAACAAAAACAAGAATTTTCCAACATGTTTATGAAGCACGTATGTGTTAAATGTAATGTTTATTATGGCCTTTATTCACATACTATATTAAGGAAAATTATCCAAAGATCTGTTTCTGACGCTAGATTGGCTCTGTCACATCCAACAGACAGCTAAGAAGAGCAAATTCTTTAACTAACCATTTTTCCATGATAAGACAACAGAAATGAAGCTACAGAGATTGATAGCTAATGAGGCAAAAAATTATTTTTATCCTCTGTTCATCTATGGCTTTGCTTATTAATAGGCATTCTTTTAGAAAGTCTAAATTAGAAAGAACTGGAATGTCAGTAACACAATAGTATTAGTCTTAATTAGCTGAAGTGAGCAAAGCTTAAGCTGATATAGCTTAAGCCATAGCCTGAGAGGAAACAAAAATCTGTTAACACACTGTCTGAAGCAATTAAATGAATTTCTTGGGGGGAAATAGCAACAATCTGGTCTTTTAAATTCCTAGCAATAAATCCTTAAGGCTAATTCTCAATACTTATATAAATCAAACAGCTGTAAGAGAATTTTAAGAGTTTCTTTATAACCAAGAGAATGAAAGCATTGAACTGTTTTATAGTAAAATTTCATGCAGTGCCTACTTAATTGAAACCAAATTCACAAGTCACATGCATCATTTATATATATTCACAAATTATATATATCATTATGCCACCTGAAATACATGTTTTAAACTACCAAGATGGTTTTAATAACCAATTAAGTTTTAACTTGCATGTGTTTTTTTACTTAAACAAAAAGTGTAAGTTAGTCTTCAGGCATATATTCTAGAGATATTAAATTTAACAAACGATAATAATACAGAAAGAATTCAACCCCACAAATACAACATAAGAAACTTTGAAAAAGATAAGGTATAACAACATTAACATTTATAAGTATATTTTTCCCTACATGCCACCAAAAATTCCTTGATAAATTAAACAGCTAATAATTTCACAATTTTTGGTCCTGCTTTGAACCGTTTCAAATCTTAACACCCTCACATGATTCAAGAAGTACAATTTATTCGTTGTGACTACTATTAGTATATGGATATCTCTTGACGACCAAACTGAGTATTTTAACTCAAATCACTAAACTAATAAACAGAATTGCTAAATTTTTCAGCAGATCAAAGTTCAAGGACATTTGGACACACAGTTTATACCCAAAGCTTAGGTGTTTTAATACTCAAAACTGAAAGTAACCACAAACTTCTCAATGTTCCTATTCTCCTCTTTTTTTCCTCCCACAATGCAATAGTTTCATCAGAGACCACGAGGCATGAATACCAACTAGAAAATGATTTTAATTGCCCTAGAAATAAAGTAATCATAGACAAGGTCCCACTTTGCCCAGGGGACTTTAGCTAGTGATAACCCCACAGATGCAAAATAGCCAATTCAATATTCAAGGAGAAAAAGTTAGATGACTGACACTATCTGACCTCAAGACTCACTATAAAACTGAAGTAATCAAGTCAATGTGGTGTTGGTAAAAGAAGAGACAAATAGATCATAAAATAGAGAACCCAGAAATAGTTCCACATATCCACATAAATATAGCCAACTGATCTTCAACAAAGGACAAAAAGCTATACAACGGAACAGACAGTCTCTTCAACAAATGGTGCTGGAAGGACTGAATTCCAAATCATACATCCTTCAAAAAAATTAACTCAAATCGATCATAAACCTAAGTATAAAACACAGAAATATAAAACTTCTGGAAGTTAACTTAGGACAAAGTCTAGAAGACATGACACTAAAGGCACAATTCTTAAAAGAAATAACTGATAAGCTGGACTTCATTAAAATTAAAAGCTGCTTTGCAAAAGACAATGTCAGGAAAATGAAAAGACAAGCCACTGAGAAAAAAATATCTGCAAAAGACACATCTGATAAGGGACTGTTACCCAAAATATACAAAATTTCTTAAAACCCAATAAGAAACAACTGACTAAAAAATGGGCCAAATACTTTAGCATATACCTCACCAAAGAAGATCTACAGATGGCAAATACCTCACCAAAGAAGATAGACAGAAGGTGAATGAATATATATATGAAAAGATGCTCAAATATCATGTTACCAGCAAATCCAAATTAAAACAAGACACCACTACACCCCCACTAGAATGGACAAAATCCAGATCACTGACAACACCAAATACTGATGCCACAGAGCAGTGTTCATTGATGGTAGGAATGTAAAATCGTACAACCACCTTGGAAGAAAATTCCAGTTTCCCACAAAAATAAACATTCTTACCCTACAATACTGCAGTTGCACCCTTTGGTAATTAACAAACATAGTTGAAAATTTATGTCCCCACAAAAACCTGAACATAAATGTTTATATGAGCTTTATTTATAATTGCCAAAATTTGGGAGCAACCAAGATGTCCTTCTGTAGATGAATGGATTAAACTGGCACATCCAGACAATGGGATATTATTACTCAGTGCTAAAAAGAAAGAAGCTATCTATAGCTTACCTATTGTAAATAGTGCTGCTACAAACATAGGGGTGCAGGCGCCCTTTTGAATTAATGTTTCTGTGTCCTTTGGGTAAATACCCAGGAGTGGAACTGCTGGATAATATGGAAGCTCCATCTTTAGTAGGTTGAGGAATCTCCACACAGCTCTCCATAGTGGTTGGACCAGTTTGCACTCCCACCAACAGTGCAGGAGAGTTCCTTTTTCTGCACAGCCTTGCCAACATTTGTTGTTGCTAGTTTTTTTAATATGTGCCATTCTCAATGGTGTAAGATGGTATTCTCACATACTACGGCGGTGGGTGGGGGAAGGAGTAGAATCAAAACAAGGGTGATGGGAATTGTATGGGGACTATAACCAAGATGAAAATGCATATTGTGCAAAAATGAAAAATGGTGTAAAAATATATAAAATTAAAAAATTTTAAAAAAAAATAATCTATCAATCCCGAAAAGAGATGGAGAAATCTTAAAATCACATTAGTGAAAGAAGCTGGTCTGAAAAGGCTATATACTGTATTATTCCAAATATATGACATTCTGGAAATGGCAAAATTATGGAGACAGTAAAAAGATTAGTGGTTTCCAGTGGTCAGTGGGGCAGAAGGAATGAATAGGTGAGTACAGAAGATTTTTAGGCAATGAAATTACTTGGTATTAATTACTCTATAGAATTATAACAAGAGTAACATGTCATTATTAAATTGGCCAGCCCAAAACATACAATACCAAGAGAAGTGTGTTTGTGATGTATCAACATAGGTTCATCAGTAGTAACAAATGAACCACTCTGGTGGAGGATGTTGATAAAAGGTGTTTATGTATGACTAGGGGAAAGAGGCATATGAGAAATCTCTTATATAAATTTGTTTAACAAATTAAATCTTTTAAGAAATGGATTATAAATTGTACATAATCAATCTAAGAATAGAACAGCAGTCCTCAAAATGTAGTATGCAAAACTCTGGAGGTCCTAGAGACCCTTTCAGGTGTTACAAGGTCAAACTATCTTTACACCAAAAAAAAAAAAGGGATGCATTTTTCATTTCTCACTAAATAATTTTTATTCTATTTTGTTGACAACTGCATTGATGGTGCAAAGTAATGATGAGTAAAACTGAAAGCACGTTAGCATGAATTAAGGGAGTAACATAAAAGCTCAGTCATTGCATTTATTCACCACTGCACAGTTAAAAAAAAAAAAGACAAAACTATTTCACTTAATTCCTTGATGTAACTTTAAGAATCATTTTTCCTAAATTTCAACTTTTAAGAATACTTTCTTTTAATATTCTGAGCAATGAAATGGGAAGAGCACATGAAGTATTTCTGCAGCACACAAAAACACAAGGAATTACAAGGAAAAGCATTGTGCTATTATTCAAGTTAGGAGCTGAGCTCTTTTCTCAAGAAACACTATTTTACTTTAATGAATAACTGAAAATTTATGGTTAGTCAGACTTGGATAGCTGGCAGACATTTTTTTGAAAATGAACTAAGTGTACCCATTATTAAGAAGAAAAAAAATTGACAGTTTTTGTTAGGTATTGTTAAAATACAAGCTTTCAACCAAAAACTAGAATTTTGGAAACTTTATATGCTACACAGTGAGTTTGATAGCTTTCCAATATTTAAACTCTTTTCTGATGAGATAGTGGTATTAATACGATTTTTTTTATCTTGTATAATGAATAATTTGTCAACTGCACAACTCAGTAAACCAACGTTTTCCAAATGACAAACACATGTTGCAAAATTGCACATAGGTTAAAAAGTCATTCCAAGTGCAAAATGAACTTTAATAGCACAAAAAGTCCACTGGTATGATTTTTTATTCCACTTTGCAGCTAATTTCTTATAAACTACTAGTTGTTGAATTTTAAAGTAGTACCTAATTATCAGAAAATGCTATTACAATATTCTGCCTTCTCCAATTATACATCTGCGGGGGGCTAGATATTCTTCATATTCTTTAGCCAAAACAACATAGCACAACAGAATGAATTTAGAAATAGATATGAGAATCCAGCTGTCTTGTATTAAGCCAGACATTTAACAAGACTTGCAAAGAACTAAAACAATAACATTCTTCTTATTTTATTTTTAATATTTTCTCAATCATATTTTTTGTTCTGGAAAATAGTTACTTTCAACAAACACATTATCATGTTTAACATAACAAATTATTTAATCAAACAACTTTCTCAGTTTCAATTTTTAAGATAGTACATAGATACTTACAACCCACATAAAAGAAAGCTCAGCTCTTTAAGCTCAATTTTTAAAAATATAAAGCTCTAAAGTACCAAAAATAATTAACAACTGAAGATACAGGAAATTATTAAATGAATGGACAATAAAATTGAAGAAAATTTGATAAGCCAAACAAGCTTTAAAGATGGACTAGACAAAAGCAAATGACTTATTCCAATATAGATTTAATTTGAACTTGTAATCAAGAGATAAAAAGTTTGTAGAAGTTAGTTTCAGTTATTTTAATCAGACTTTTAAAATCATACAATGAGAAGATATAATTAAGAAACGCTTCAATTTTCTGAGGCTATTTACTTCAAGAATTGTATTGTAAGGTACCCAGAAATGAAGTGAGATAGAAACAAGACCTATAATGCATTTTTAAAGGATACATGTACTTCCTTAAACCACTTCATTATAAATGATGTAGAAGAGAATAAGGAGAAAAGCTGTCTTGTTTAAACATAATTATTTCTATTATTCAACTTCTAAGACAGAGAATAAGAATAAAGTGCTGAGTGAAAATCAGGTAATTGAGTTGCTAGACTATTTTGTGATTTAAATGACTAGTAATATTACCATCTTGCGGCAAAATCAAATACTGCAATTTTGAATGACAAAGAACCTGGTTCTGATAAATAGCCAAGCATTTTACTCCTCCACACACACAGCCCCTTCCAAGTCACTTCTAACTAAAAAATGCTTTAAATTCTTTAATAGTAATAAAGAAAAAGTTTAAATGTTATTTAAAGAGAGAAAAGAGAGATCTTAACAGTAAAGTTAAAAACAAAAATGTTCTCATGTGTCAATTTAATAATTAAACTGCCATGCCTAATTCTTACAGAATAAAATTATATTTTACAAGCACGTATTTTATAAGCATTGATAAATGTTATGTTTGGTAGTTTCGTATTTATTGTCAATTAATTTCCATAAATAAATTGTTGCCACACTTCAATTCCTCATGTTGTAGTAGAAGAGGTACTAGCTCTTACTGTTTCTCTTTACCCTGGCCCATGTGATCTTCATATACTGCATGCAATGGTCAATCTAGTTATTACTCACAATCTAATCCAAAATCTGCCCTTACCTCTTTCAGATATTAGTCTATTAAATTTCAATAAAACCTAGTTGTGTGTGAGTCTGTGTGTGTGTATATGTGTGTATCTGTGTGTGTGTGTGTGACTGTCTACAGTGTATCTGTATGAGTGGGTCTATCGAATCTATCCATGTCTTCTGTGTGTCTATGTCCACAGATATATGCATACATATACAGAGTAGCATAAATATTTTAAGATACAAAGGAGAAAATAAGAAAGGCTAGAAGGATACAACAGTATTATCTTTTATTAGCTAGTCTCTCCCAGTTTAAACTGACACATAATATGGACAAACATATCCCTTAACAGCAGAGGTCTAGATTCAAAAAGTCCAAGTACAAAGTTAAAATACTAGACAATTTCAAGTCATCATTGTATATATACAAAACAGTAAAGTAACCTGAAAATTCTCCATATTCTTGTCAACTCTCCATTTTGCTTCCAGTACAAAAGGAGATAACATACAGAAGCGAAAGAGAGAAAGAATGCACAAGTACGCAAGTACCCACCTTTCAACCTGCTTCTGCAGTAAGGTACCTGGATTACACCTCACTAGATCTAATCCGATTCTCTAAATAATCTATAGGTACTCTCGATAGCCCATAAAATATATAACTTGTTCCTCTCAAGTAAGGCTTTGTCAACTTAGTGTACTTTACTATTGAAAAAGAAACTAGTTAGAATAACCTATTTTTTTTTCGCCAGTAATTACATGGGGTCATAATTTCTTCTATTTAGTGGATAGTAATGATTTTAAGGTCTAAGCCCTCTCACCTTAAGAACATTGCCCTGTCTAATTCAAAACAAATGAGAATTTGTTCTGAAGAGCCAAATAGCACCAATTTACTAACTGTATCCAACCTGTTGATGATTGCAATGTCTGGTGCAAGCTGTGTGGCAACTGAAGAGTGAACAGAGGTGAGTGGATGCTATTTCTGAAGAAGTCTTCTGTTGCTTTAGACTGCAAAATCTTTGCTTCCCAGAGCTGCAGAGAAAAAAATGTTTGGCCTTTTAAAAATATTGGGATTTTTTTTTTTAAAGATTTATTTATTTTATACAAGAACCTGGGTACAGGCCAGATGTGCGGGAGGGTGAGAGGATTCACCAGAGACAGAGCGGGGAACAGAACAGGCAGACTGATGAAATACACTGCTGAGGGGAGCAGCGGGCGTGACAGGAGAGGTCTGCCGTGCCATGTGGGACCCCCGCCGGCTGGCCAGGATTGAACCTGCACTGCAGAGGCTGCAGACAGCTTCACGGCACAGCGCCCAACCGCTTGCGCCACCAGGGTAGGCCCTGTTGGGATTTTTTTTTTTTTTTTGTCTTTTTTAATTGTCAGCTGATGGCACAATGAACAGATAAGTATTAAACTATAATTAAGGAATTTAAAATTATAATTTATCATTTTTATGCTGAGAAAAACAACAAAAAGACAGAAAAACCTGTATTGTGTACACACCTGTTTCAAGTCTTTTAAGACTTGTTCCTCTATACCTTCTTCAGCAAACAGATTCCGAACTCCTTCAATTACATCTTCAATTACAGATTTGTAGAGTTTAGGCTACAAAAAAAGCAATTGTTAAAGTTTTAAATTCCCAAGTTTGAGTGTATTCTACAATTTAGTCACCATAAGTATTTTCACTAAGTACATACTACTCCCATGTACTCGCTGATGTCAGTGTGTTTTAAGATACATAAAATAGTTATGCTTAATTGTGAGTTTACCCTGTATACAATTTTATCCAATACCATTTTATCTGATGGTGAATTCCAAGAAGGAGCGTGTATGTGTGTTTTATTTTAAATAGAGAGGTTAAAATTTCATGAATTATACATAGTTTTAATCAGGATAACAGACAAAAGCAATACAAATCTAGAAGAGTAAATATGTTCATAGTCTTTTTTTTTCTTTTGTTAGATTTTTATTTGTTTCATCAGTATTATCCTAGCTGCAAACCCACAGTCACAGCCTAATACAAGGCTGAATTACAGGACTGAAAAAAAAAATGAGGTAATAATTTCATAGAGATACATGGTTACAGTTTTGCTACATGGCTTTTGTGTCATTATTTGACCTCCCCTGTTCCTTTTAAACAGGGAAATTCACTTAAGGATGTGGAAATGAACATTCTACTTTCAATTTATCTTTTTATCAAAGAAGCGAAAGGATCTTTTTTTAAAGTTCACTATATTATTTCCACAAATGTAAATGAATTCCATGCCATAAAACTGAGGCAAACACATACAATAAAGCAACCAATGCCCATCCCACTTGCAAAGAAATACTCTAAACTATTGTCAAGTCAAAGTACAATTGTCCCAAAATGAATTGAAAGGGGTAAGAGAAATGTAAGCTTTCACAATCTGCATAATGCAGACTATGTAATATCCTAAAATGCTTCCTAAGGAAAGCATAATATGATAATACTATTAAGTAGATTTCAACCCAGGTTAAATATTGGTTATATCCATACAAAATAAGCCTATCACATAACTCAAACCTTCTAAGCAATATAAATTGTGTTCCATCATCTCCCCATTTCAAAATGGCAATGCTAAGTGTATGAATACTGACCTAGCGGATGTTCCACTGACGAGAAAAGCCAAAACAGAAATTTGAGTTCCTCTTATTTCAAATTTCTTAATCAGGCCAAGGTAAAAACTGGCATTCTAGGACTGCTTTTTCATAATACCCTACAAATACTGTTAAGTACTCCTGCTTATGCCAAGGTTAGCTAGGTTTTAAACTAATTTTTCCAAAGAAGGCGGGATAAGCCTATGAATAGATCAATCAGTCATATTTAAATAACACATTATTCACCAGTATTATCCACTAAGATTAAGTACCCCTGGGTAGTTTCTTCTACAACAGCTTGGCCAAATAAAGGCATACTGAATTGATGCTTCATTATTAGTCCCAGCTAGTGTGACCATATTTAAAGTCAGAGGAAAAACATCCTAGAGCTAAAAATATATTTAAAATCTGCGTTAAGTGTAAAAGCAGCATCAAAAATAACCAATTAGAACACAATTTTCAAAAGGAAAGTAGGTATTCAACATACGTTCTCTTTTAGGACTGCAGTTTTCTATTGCTGCTTCTACCTGTTATCTTTATTAAAAACTTTGTACAGTCCCTGCAATCTTAACCTCTCCTCTATTTAAAATAAAACACAAATACATTCTCCTTGGAGTTCACCATCAGATAAAATAGTTTACATGGTTTAAATTTACGCTCAAGCATAAGTATTTTACTCATCTTAAGACATGCTGACATCAGAGAGTGGATATAGACATTAAAATAACATTTATCTAAAAATTGCCGTTTTTATGCTGCATATGCATCCATAGCACCCATAAAATAGCACACATCTGGACAGGCACATGGCTTTTCACAAATGTGAATCAGCCTGCTGGGATGATCTGAAAATAAAGATTAATCCTTGATTTTCTTTTGTTCTTTAATTCAGGTTTTTAAGATGGATTGAGGGTCTCACAAGCGCCAGTGAGTCTGTCAATTCTCACTGTGAAGTTGAGGCACCTCTTACGGGTAGGAAAGCAACGTTTGGTGTTTTGTTTCTGGTTTTCTTTTAAAATTCTAACGATACAGTTAAGTATTAAGATGCTTACGGAGATGTAATTCGAAAAATATGGGAAGGTAACATGAAACATGTCACTTCAGGTGAATAATACAGCTGGAAATAAATGATAATACAGCTTCGAATAAACACTGAAAGAACTCGAGGACTACTTATCTCCAGAATTTTCTAAACAGGAAAGGGGGGGTGTGTGTTAAGGTAAATGACAGGCCTAGCCACCTTCTAAGCACCTCACGCCAAACAACATTCGCCTGGGTGAGGAGAGAGAAGGACTAAAAAAGGAAAATGAGGGGCACTTGCTCTTTTGGGGAGGTGAGGGGTACCGCCAAGCCCAACTTTTGGGGGTTCCTGGCCCTCTAAGGGGAAGGGCTTCCGAAAGGCTGTGAAGGGCGAGAGGGGGAAAGGCAAGGCGGCGAGCCGAGCTCCCAGGGCACTCTCTGAAGAGTGCTCAGGCCCACAGGGCGGCGGCCCTGCTTACCACCGGGTTGACGCAGGCCATTGCCGCGGCTCCGGCGCCTCGCCCTCGCGCCTGCGCAGCACGCGGTGCCGCCGAGGGCCGCTCCCCGCACGTTTTGAACGGCGGCCCAGGTTGCCGCGCAACCACGTAAGGACGCAGGGGGCGGGGCGGGGTAGGGCAGGAGAGGCTGGTGGTTAACGGATTGAGCCCGGCTTGTGGAAGCGGGTGCTCGGGCTGGGTGGAGGCTGGCGTGCAAGAAAAGCAAAGAGGCAGCTAAAACCCATGGTGACGTCTGGTCGACCAGCTATGGCTGTTCGTGTGATTCTGAAGAGACTTTATTGTCTTAATAAGACTAAGAAAACAGGGGAGGGACCCAGCAGGGGGAGAGAGCCCAGTTCATCTTCAGCTTTGGGGCCAGAAAGGGGAAATTATTACAGTACCTGTCCTCTCCTAGGAATTGTCATTCCTCCTATGCCCCACTTGGAATTGAACACCAAAAGAAGTATTTTTCTCAAAGCCAGACAGACCTGAGCGAGAAACTGAGGTGGAGTCCAGTAGTCTGTAACTTGAACATGCTCTCCAGCTGATTCTAATGTGTGCTTAAATGAGATTCACTGCCCCAAAACAAAGATTCTCAGCTGTGGTCACACATTGATATCACCTGGAGAGTATTTTGACACCTGAGTCTCACCCCAGAAAACCTGATTATAATATGCAGCCAAGATGGAGAAGCACAGATAAGATACAGTCTGCACCCCAATGCTGCCAAGCTCCTTTTCCTCTTGCAGAAACCACCTTTTGACCTGCAACAAGTCCCTCCTTCCCCTGAAGGGCAGGACAGCTAGAGGCAAACGTTGCCCAGGGCTGAGTAGATGTAAGGACAGATAAACTGTCTTAGAAAAGGTATGAGGATATCTGTGGCCAATATTCTGCCTTTTAAACTGCCTTTCTAGCCTGCAGATAGGCCTGACCTACCCAGATGGCTAAATTATTTAATGATCAAGATCCTACTAAGTTTAAAAATTGGCTGTTTATTTACTTGTGTGTATAAGTTCAATAGAGCTCTTTATGCCTCTACTTGCTTTGCCAGGGTCAGGTACCTCAATGTTTGTGAGTTTCAAGCAGCTGATTTATATGAACCCTTCAGCAGACATTCCTAAATTGCAAACTATCTGAAATTTCTTTAACGAAAGCTATAGTAATTTCTAATGATTGTATCGCTATGCCTGGCAATTTACTACCAGAAATAAAGTGACTTATCTTTAACCACGATAGAAAAGCAAAATGTAGTCATTGATTCCTATTGATATTTTAACTCCAATTAAATTATTCACACTGGAAAATAAAAAAATTGAAAGGTCTCTTGTTTTCCATCTTTTTCATAGCCAAGTTTTAAACCTTTATTTCTAAATGCATGGGATCGGTAATCACTTAACCTTTTTTGACAGCATAGTATTTTATATTACTTCATTATGTTACCCTTCTCAGGGTTTTACTGTATAGGTCATCAATATTTTTTAAATTAAATTTATACCCATAAAAAGTTTGACTTAGAGTTGAACCCTTATTGCTCAGTATGCTTAGTAGACTTAGGTTAGAGAGGTTATGTAACTTTGGCCAAGAAACATCAGCAACTTTCCATTTGTCCTTTGATAGACTTATCTGCATGGTCACTAGTTTCTTCCCAATAATAGACAATGGTTAAAGCATACGTCCTTTAAAGGACGGTATGCTTTAACCCATGTTTTTGGTGGATCCAAGTTGCAAACCTGTTCTGGACCAGTGATAGCCAACTTCCAAGATGTGCCTCCTCCAGGTATTTACAACCTTGTGTTATCCCCCACCAGTCACTTCCAAAAATATTTTAAATGACTACATAGTTTCCCTTCTGTCTCTGAGATCACTCACTTTGGGAGAAAACGGCTGTCATATCCAATGAAATGTCCATGTGGCAAGAAACTGAGGTTCCAACTCATAGCCAACAAGGATCAGTAGCCTGTAGACACATGAGTAAGCTTGGAAATTGATTCTTCCCCCATATGAGCTGTCAAATTATATCAGCTGTGACTGAGAGTTTGACTGCATCCCATTGAGACACCCACCTTAAATCAGAACAACCCTCTAGGTATGTCCCAGATTTCCAATCCCAATGTAATATAATAAATATTTGTCATTTTAAGAAGTTAAGTTTTGGGGGTAATTTGTTACACAGTATGAGATAAGTAACACTGGACCCATTCTCTGAGTGGCTAGTGACTGATGGAGGTTTAGTGTTCCCTCATTGTAATTTTAACATTAAAGTTTCTTGAATACTTCATCAGTCACAAGAGCATTTGAAAATTATGTAAAGGAATTTTTATAGACATTTTATAGCACTGACCCCAGGTTGTCATCAAACAAGCCCACTGTTATAGTCATATAATGGTCACATTTCTTTTGTCAATTTTGCAAACATAGAAGGGAAGTGTGTTGCATACACAAAGCACTTTGATACTAAAACTGCAATTTCAAGATCCCAAAACCTCAGTGAGGCAATTTTACAGTGACTATTTTTTATGTTAGTAAATAGACAATAAAAAGAGGAATGCTGAGCTTTGGTTCTTCTTTGAGTACACAATTCTTTGAAATTACACCTGTGGCAAAGTGTAAAGCTCTTCTCCAACTGCCCGTCACAGTCCAGAACATTAAATTTTTATTTTCTCCTGCTATGTTTAGAGACTATAATATATATTTAATATACTATTAGCAATCAACACCAGTTTTTGCAACATCAATTTGAGCAAACCTTAGTAATCAGAATTAATTTCTTTGCATTCTGTATGTTCTCATTATCTATACCTACCTAAATAATTTTGCTTTGCTTTTTTTGAGAAAAGGCCCTATCTATGAAGTACTTTTTCTCAATAAGGTAAAAAAAAATGTATTTTATAGATCACCCATTATTCTTTACATATTAAATTTTATACTCAAATACAGGGCATTCCAGTAACTGCATAGACTCTAAATAATATATTTATCAGTAATGAAAAATGCAAGTTGATCTATGAGTTCATGGCTTAAGGCAGAAAATATTTATAATTAGTTTCTGAACATTTTGCAACCAATTCACTAAACCCAGCAGTATTGTGTTTCTCTGCCTGTTTCATCCTTTACATCTTCCAGGAAATGAAAATCCAGATAATCTTTGCCTCACCTTGTAACTTTGAAATGGTTACAATGTTGGTAGTTCTGATTTATTTATATTCTGCACTTTTGTAACATTTTCCATTTTCTAGTACAAAATCAACTTACATTCTCTGAACATCAAATACCATTTCATCGAGATGAATCCCTTCCCACCCCCACCACAACAAGACTAAAGTTGGCCAGGGCCTCCCCAGCGGCGCAGCGGTTGAGCGCTGGGTTGCGAAGCTGCCCTCAGCCTCTGCAGCGCCGGTTCGATTCCCCGGCCGCCGGGCGAGGGTCCCACATGGCGCGCAGACCTCTCCTGCTGCCCTCTGCTCCCCTCAGCAGTGTACTTCAGTCCTTCTGCCTGCTCTGCTCCCCGCTCTGGCTCTGGTGAATTCTCTCACCCTCCCGCGCTTCTGACTATACCCAGTGCTTGTATAAATAAATAAATAAATATTTAAAAAAAAAAAAAGACTAAAGTTGGCCAAAGCTTTAATATTTTGACAGGATGCTATGGCTAACTAGTGACCTTATCACACAATGGAATATTGTTAATGAGTAAATGAGTACATTACTACCTATTTCAAAGTGTTTTACTATTAAAGAGACATATACATTATGTACATGAAAAGTCGTGACTGTAATTAACTCACCAGAAGTATGGAAGATGACTACAAACATAATTTTCCCCATGACTGCTATTTCAACACTCTATCAGTGTCTTGATAAGGATTCAATAATTTCCTAGCTAATTAACAATTCTATTTTCATGTGTTTAATCACAGTGTATCATTGTGATTATATAAACATATATGATAATGTCCATTGTCCACCCAGTTAATTTTCCAACCAAAATTTCTGCTGAGAGAAGATGGAGGTAAAGAACAATAAACCACACTTATAGCTATGACCTATAGAGAATCATCCAGCTTTGTTCCTACAATAACTGGACCATTTCTCTTTCCTAATTTGTTTCCTTTTATAAGAAGTACATAGCATCTTGAATATGCTATGTCATTACCTTAGGTGCTTCAAATACCAGGAGAGGCAAGACAACGTGGCTTAGACATGCTTTTCCTATTTCTTCTGCTAAGGACAGCTAAAAACTCTGGATATTGTATATATCACAAACATGAAGACTCTGAAATGTGAAGAGGACAGGCAATGTACAAATAACCAACAGGAAGGCAGGAAAAAGAACAGAGGGAGCAAACACAAAACCAAGTAACATTGGCAAGGATATACAGAATGTATATAATGATGCAGTAACTACTTTGACAAAGAGTTTGACAGTTTCTTGAAAAGTTAAAGCCAAAATTTACCACATGATTCAGCAATTCCACTAATAGGGATTTACCCAAGAGAAATGAAAACATGTATTTAACTAGTATTGACATGAATGCTTGTAACAGCATTGCTGATAATAGTGGGAAAATGGGGAAAGCCCAAAGCTCCCTCAGTTGATACATGGGTAAAGAGAATGTGTTAGAACAACACAGTTGAATACTATTTGATAATAAGGAGGACAAAATAGTGACACGCACATGAACCTGGATGCAAAATGTGAGTGGACCTTAGAAACATTGTCCTAAGTGAAAGAAGCCAGGGACAAAAAACCTATATTATATAATTCCATTTGCATGAAATGTCCAGAAAAGGTAACCAGAGTCAAAAATTAGATAGTGGTTGCCTGGAGCTAAAATGAGAACTCCAGGAGTGACTGAAAATGGGCTTAAGAGATATTTTGGGGATGACAAAAATATTCTGAAATTAGTATACTCAAAATAGGTGGATTTTATAGTATATTATAAAATATATTAGTCCCCAGCAAAGCTGTTAAAGCTATCAGGAGGCTCTCTTCTTTAGGGTGAACCTAATTTTTATAATTGTGGTAAAATACACATAAAATTTG